CGTGATACAAGTCCTTCCAGGCAGCCTCCAGAGACTTTATTATCGCCTCGGCGGCAGGCTATGCGAGCTACATCTGTGTATGGCACAACAAAACCCGACCGCCAACATACCCAACTTCATTCCTATGGAGCTGACTTTGGTGCAACGTTCCAGTCTCTCCCTACAACTGCTACGCCATCAAAGACACCCGCTCCGCCTAAAGTTCATTCCCGTTCGGCTTCTTTGTCAGTACCAGCATCCGACTATATGCCCCCGCCTTCTGATCGCGTCAAGGGCATCATGTTGGACTCTCTCCCAATGCACATTTTCATTGCTCTACCACCAACAGGTGAGATTGTATGGGTCAATAGTCGCTATCTGACTTATCGCGGCCAAAGTGTGAAGGATTTGCATGAGGATCCGTGGGCTTCTATCCATCCAGACGAGAAAGATGATTACTTGAAAGCTTGGGCTAATTCTATCCGCACCGGAGAGCAATTTTCTATGCAGGTTCGCCTTAAGAGGTTTGATGGGGAGTATCGATGGTTCTATACACGTGCTGTCGGTCTCAGAGATAGCAGAGGAGTCATCGTACAATGGTATGGCACCCATATGGACATTCACGACCAGCACATCGCCGAAGTGAAAGCTGCTAGACAAGAGGAGATCGAGGCATCAGAAGCAAAACACAAGCAGCTCGCAAATCTCATCCCACAAATCATATTTTCTGCGACAGAGGATGAAGGCGTTACATTTGCGAATCAACAGTGGCTCTCTTACACAGGACAGGCTTTCGACGACGCTCTAGGCCTCGGTTTCATGGACTGCGTACACCCGGAAGATCTAGCCAGATGTCATATTCCTTTCAACTCTCCGCCGACGCCTTCTGCACCAGGCCCCAAGAAGCCTGCAGAACCGAGCCGTAACCCATCGCAAACATCATCGGGTGGAAAATCCTCAGAGAAGTCGCTAATATCCGAAGCTGCTACCGAAACCACTATTCGAGGCAGATACCAATCATTGTCACGAACTAACAGTTCAAGCAATGGCTCCGTTTATGAATTCCCATCCGCTGACCTTCTTGAGCTCACAAGAACCGGTGTCGTCAAGGTCGATAAGGATAGCAACGGTAGAATTTCATACAGTACCGAGGTTCGACTTCGTTCGAAGAGCGGCGAATATCGTTGGCATCTTGTTCGTTGCGTCGAGGTCGACAATATTAACCTTGGTAGTGGAGATGGATCATGGTTTGGTGCTTGTGCTGATATCAATGATCATAAGCTACTGGAAATGAAGTTGAAGGAAGCCATGGAGTCGAAGAGTAAATTCTTGAGCAATATGTCTCATGAAATCCGTACGCCACTGATTGGCATCTCTGGCATGATCAGCTTCCTCCAAGATACTCCTCTAAACGATGAGCAAATCGACTATTGCAGTACTATCGCATCAAGTGCTGAAGGTCTTCTAAATATCATCAACGATATCTTGGATTTGGCGAAAGCTGACGCTGGTATGATGAAACTCTCGTATGATTGGTTTCATACCCGTTCCTTGGTTGAAGAGGTTAATGAGATGGTGTCAACCATTGCCATTACAAAGCATCTCGAAGTCAACTATGTTGTCGATGGCGACGTACCCGAGATGATTAAGGGCGACCGATTCCGTATCCGCCAAGTCTTGCTGAATGTTATAGGCAATGCTATCAAGTTTACGACTGTGGGTGAGGTATTCAGCCGCTGCACAGTCCTCAGATCTGATGATCTTGATCTTCGTGATAACGAAATTATGCTAGAATTCTCGATCATCGACACTGGACGAGGTTTCACGCAAGAGGAAGCTGAACTCATATTCAAACCTTTCAGCCAGATCGATGGTAGTAGCACTCGCACTCACGGAGGCACCGGCTTAGGATTGGTCATTTCTCGTCAATTTGTCGAACTTCATGGTGGCAAGATGGAAGGTACTGCAATTCCAGGCAAAGGTTCCACCTTTACGTTTACTGCCAGATTCGGCCTTCCTACGCCTGATGACCACCCTGATCCACCATCGACACCTGCCTTGAGTAAGGTACCTTCAGCTTTGTCGTCTGTTAGGTCTTCAATTTCGGAAACCAACCCTCGTCCTATGAAGCCTATAGCTGCCCCACAAACGATGGCCTCGAAGGTCTTCCAATCACCAAATGAAGAGAGCCCACGAACAGAATTAGTGATGACTGATTCACCAGCAGTCTTGTCTTCTGGCAGTTCAGAACCTTCACTTCGTTCATCTCGAACGCACGCCACAGGAAGATCTTCCAACTCTTCAATTGCAGGGTCGCTAGCGCGGTTCGGTGAAGCAGCTCGCTCCAGCTCGATAGACGCTTCTAACATGAAGCTAGCACTTCCAGACCGAGTGTCACCCGGACCTGAATCGCCCCCTTCGCAATCGTTGTCCTCCGGAGCAACGCCAACTCCACAAACTTCCTTGGCTAGTGGTTTGGCGTCTCGTCAAAGTAGCACTCCTTCCGACGCGAAGAACTTCCGTCCGCCAATGTTCTCGATATTGCTCATCTGTCCCCAGGTGCACAGCCGTGAAGCAACCACTCAGCATATCGAGATGACTCTGCCGAAAGACATTCCTCATCAAATTACGGGATTGGCAAGTGTCGAGGAAGCGAGAGAGATGATTGGCGGAGACGATCCTGTAATCTTCACACACATTGTCCTGAACCTTGGATCAGCTGAGGAGATTGTCGCTTTGATTGATCAGATTATTGCATCTATCTCATTACCGCAAACATCAATCGTCGTTCTCTCCGATCCAGTTCAGCGACAGGAAGTGATGAAGTTAGCGACTACCTACGACTATGATCAGCTCGCAAAGGACAACCGTGTTACCTTTATCTACAAGCCAGTCAAGCCGTCTAGATTTGCTGTTATCTTTGACCCAGAGAAGGAGCGAGACCTGAGCACCGACCGCAATCGCTTTAGTGCCCAGCAACAGGTAGCGAACCAGAGACAGAATTATCTTGATATCGGCAAGCGTCTTGGAAACAAGGGTTTCAAAGTCTTACTAGTGGAGGACAACGCGACAAATCAGAAAGTCCTTCTCAAGTTCTTAAGCAAGATTGGTATCAATGTCGACTTGGCTTTGGATGGTGTTGAATGCACCGATAAGGTCTTTTCTCAGCCCCATTCCTTCTATTCCCTGATTTTAGTAAGATTCACACCTCTCTTCTTCTCAAGAACTCTACTGACGGACGTGCAGTGCGATCTCCATATGCCGAACAAGGACGGCTATCAAGCTTGTCGCGAGATCCGTGAATGGGAACGCAATGAATCCCTCCCTCGCATGCCTATCATCGCTCTATCCGCGAATGTCATGGCTGATGTCCTCGACAAATGCGTGGCAGCCGGATTCAGCAACTACATTACCAAGCCGGTCGACTTCAAGGCTCTCAGCACCGTCATGGGCGACCTCCTGGATCCGATCGAGCCCGAGGAGGCAAGGAGGATCATCACCAAGACATGACTAGCCGACCATAACTTCTTTTCCAGCATAATGCGAACATACCACACACAGAGATGGACTGCATACATGGCGCTGGCGTTTGCTTTTGTGGTAGCAGCATACCTCTTGCGGCGTTTTATGTTTTGAGTTTTTTTCCTCATCGCGTTGCGGCCCACGGGTCGGACGGATAGATGGGGTGTATAATATGTATGACTGTATGGACTAGTTCTTTTCTCTTCTGCCCTATTCGGCATCTTCACATCTCTTTCTCCCGACATTCTTCGACGATCGAACCAGGTTATTTTATCACCACCTTGCTGGAGATGATGCTCGAGATCTGTTGAAGGAGAGGAAGAGAGGAAGATTTTTATTTGCGCTAGTCTGCTTTTTTCTTCTTCTTCTTATTTTTACTCTCGGCAATTGCATACATGGCGAGCTGGCGATGGGATGGATGGATGGGATGGTACCATGGATGAATGATAATGAAACCCTTTGCGCACGCATTTGCGCGCTGGCTCAACAATACACGCTTGGGGCATCAATGAGTGAGCGAGCGATGCGTTATGGTGCATAGCATGGCCTGGTACGGCGCTTTTTGTTCTTTTTCTTTTCTTTTATGGATCGGATCGGATCGGATGGTACGGATGGATGGTTGGGAGCCTGGGAGGTTGGATCTAGGACTGGCGTTTGCTAGATCTAGATCTGCTCCTACTAATTCTGCCTGTGCGATGGATGGATTTGCCGACAGCGGGATTTCGGTATTCGGGAATCGGAGGAAAGGAGCGAGGTGGGATGGAGATGATTGTTCGAAATTTGTATGAATGTGCATTTCCCTATCCATTTATCTATCTCAGGCCTGAGACTCGACGCACAACACAACAGAACACAACACACAGAGACAGACAGCAGAACAAACACAAACGACAGCAATGCTCTCCAGGGGAAGGAAGATAGGGAGAGGCAGAGAAGAGTGTGTATCACAGTCACAGTCACAGTCAAAGAGAGAGCATCAGAAGCAGAAGCCGAATCAAAATTCAGAAATGAGAACCAGATGCAGGAATGAGAATCAAAAACTGTGTGTGTATTTTAGATGAGTATGCATAGCGTCTTGATACCCTATCCTCTTTGTCTGTGAAGTGAAGTGAAGTGAAAGTGATGTGCCTGACTGTCTGACTGTAGTATATTGTGCGACTGTAGCTTACTGATCAATGATATGAGATGTGCACGAGTATAAATAATTTTGAAATACAGCAACGAGACTGAGACTGAGGTTGAGGTTGAGATCGAGATCCTTCTAGGTACGAAAAATGAAAAAGGCAGAAAGTTCTAGACGAATCGATCGATCGATCGCTCGGCTCATCATCGGCTTTCAACCCTCCCCCCTTCTTACTCGTTCGTTAAGCTCACTCATTCGCTAAGAAAACGCACACCACATCACACCTCTCCTTGACAAAAATTCACAATTCAAAACCCCAGTTTTTAAACAAAAAATAAAAACCTAAAACCCAAAAAGTAAAAATCCAAAAAACAATTGACCCACGCAGGGGTCGAACCTGCAATCTCTTGATCTCAAAGTCGAAGTCAAGCGCCTTGCCATTGGGCCAGTAGGCCATACATTCATTCACCAGTCTTTGCTGGTGTTGTATTATGTAATACACATGTACAGAATTTTTGCTTATTAAAATTTATATCATTGTTTTTGGGGAGTGGGCTGGAAGGGGTTAGAGGGAGAAAGGAGGGAAGGAAGGGAGGGGAGGCGAGGAGGAATAAGTGGAGATGGAGATGGGGAGTGGGTATTACTTAGTAAGGGATGGATGAGAGGTTAGCCGAGGATAGGATAGGTAGGGAGGAAGGAACTGAAGGGATTTTTTTATTTTTTATTCCAAAGTGTGTTCAATTGTGCTCGTTAGTACGAAGGAGACGGAATGAGAAATGAAGGGGTAGGGAGAAGCAAGGGAGGGATGGAGGGTAAGATTTGTGGTTAGTTGACAGCATACTAACGAATTGCTGATTCATCACATTCACATCAGATACGAATCATTTTATGTAATTCGTTGTTCGTTCATTCATCGTAGCGATCGTGAGGGTGTGATACCATGCCAGAGCCATGCCTTCTATCTATTTTATCCAGTACACGCGAGGAAAACTCTAAGTAATGTACACAGTTTGAATAGAGTTTTCTTCGCCGAAGTGTCAACACCGCCATGCATATCCATCCAATCCCATCCCCGAGAAGCAGAACAAAACCATCGCCAAATAAAAAGAGGCCAGCATTGCTGTAAGAATCGAAGAAGTGTATGAAATTGATTTTCTATCTCATCTCATACCTCTGATCTACCAAGATCTGTGAAAAAGAGGGCCCAAACGGGAACGAAAAAAATTAAGATGAGGGGCCAAGATCTAGTTGGAGACCTCGCGGTTAATATGGCGGTGCATATGTCGGTGTGTGCGCTTTGTGTTGCCAGTCTTGGAGTAGACACTAAGACTCAGGCCACCACCACAGGTCTGAGTTCCGTCGCCCTCGCATGGCATATCGCAAGCAGTCTCATTGAGAGCAGAGCTTCCTTCTAGCTGGTTGCCACAGAAGCATTGTCCGCCATACTCGGTGCCGGCCATCGAGAAACCACGGGCACTGCAGTAGTCAACACACTTGGTGTTGGTGACGGCGTGTTGGCCAACATTGGCGAGTTCGATGCCGGTCAGGACTCGAGCACGAGTGTCTTGGTAACATCCATAGTATGACCAGCCTGAAGCGACGGAACTTCCTCCAGTTGACGAGGGAGCTAGGCCAGTAGCAGTGACAGTGGTCCAGACAACAGTAGTCTCCGAGACGTAAGAAGTGACAACACTATCAGATCCAGAAGAGACTGAGGCAACCTGGGTGATCAGAGTTGTTGCATGAGTCTCAACTGGCGTGCTAACAAGTGCAGCAGCTGTTGAGGCTGAGGTTGGAGCCTGGACCTGTTTGACGCCACTGGAAGAAGCGTGAGTGCCGGCAGCAACGCTAGAGTCAGGGGACGAAGATGGAGCAACTTCCTTAGCACTTGTTGGCTTAGAACTGCTTCCAGCAGCCTTGCTCGAGGCAGGTGCGGCGGTGGATGGAGCCTGAGACATAGATGCAGTAGTACCGCTTCCGCCACCAGGAGCAGCAACATTTACTCCCCAGCCAGTCACGGGGTTGTTTCCAGGAAGAGCGCTCATAGTTCCCGTGATGACTTCATTGATAGGATCAGGAATATTGCAGGTGGTTGACGGGTCATTGAGTCCTCCAATGAGACCTGGGCACTTGTCCATGCCAGAGTCACCAGCATCACAGTTATCAATGATTTGTTGAAGAGTCTCGACATCCCAGCCAGAGATGAAGTCACCGTGCAGAGAGTAACCAGTTGGGTCACCGTTGGCGAGGACGAATGGTTGAGTGCCTTTACCAGGAGTCCAGCGAGAAGCGAACAGAGGGGTGTTCCAGTAGACTTCGTAGAACAAGTGAGGGGTGTGGGTCCAGCCTTCTGGGCAGTTGCCGTTGGTTGGGAATTGCATGTTCTCCTTGTAGTTGTCAAGACCAGCAGCTGGGTTATAGCATGATGGGAAGTGAACATCGGCTCGGAGAGGAGATGCATATCCATCACAGTTCTGGTCTGGGAATCCAACACCTGCACCCCCATTTCCAGGATCTTGAATACCAACACCGTGAAGACCATCAGAGTCGGTAGGGTAAAGAGGTTGCGCGGTGCTTGATCGGGGGCAGGTAAACTGGACCGGTTGAGGTGTGCCGTCAGAGAGATCAAGGATTGATTTACCACCAGTGGAAGGAGGAGTACGGAGAGAAGGGTTGCCGATGACCATGCGGTGTCCTGGCTCGAAGGCCTTGATCTTATCGGTGGTAGCCTCAAAGCTGTGAATCATTAGTACAGATCGATCTACCGAGCTTGAATCACCTACAAGTAGTACACGTTCATATAGAACATTTCGACCGGCTCAAGCTCCTTGGTAACAGGATCTTGGAACCACAAGGACGGAGTCCAGTAGTTGCTCTTATCGTTCTTGACGAGGGATGAAGTGCAGGTCGACTGATCCAGAGCTTGAGTGTCGGTCATGGTAACGCCGAAGGCATTACCACCTTGAATGGCATGAACGTGACCGGAAACACCACCAGGGCTGATGATGGGATCAACACGACCCGTCATGAGAGGACCCTTGCCATAGAAGTGGTTGACCGCAAAGGTACGGCCAGTTGCACTGTATGCAGAAGCAGAAGCGGCAAATGCCATGATGGTGGAAGTTGTGAAGCGCATTTTGTTTGTTGGTGCGTATGTGGCGAATGAAATCGATGTTGTAGTTGAAAAGGAGAGTATCGCCGGGAGTACTGGGAGTTTCGCTTTTGCTGGTTGAAATGACTGAAGAGCTGTCGAAGCTGGTGATTCACAGAGAGTGATTGCTTACACACAAGAGTTGCTGGACTCGATTGGTTTTGAAGGAAAGGAAGGGATCTGTATCAACAGATAGAAAAGAAGGGATAGCAAAAGCGAACTGAAGGAATGTGAAGTACGACGAGTTCGACGTACAAATCGATAGTGGTGAACAGAAAAGAAGGTGAGTGTGCCGGGTCCGGCGTGACTTATGTACGGACTCAGCACTGGCTTGGGAGTGGGGAGGGAAAGAGCGAAGGCACGGCGCGTGGGCTGTGGTGGCTTGCTCGATGACATTCACTAGATCCTCCCTAGGTGGGCGGTGGAAGGTGGAAGGCGCTAAGAGCCGAGGGCATCTCGATTCTCGACTCCCTCGTCCCAGCTACGAAAACAAGACATTTTCAATCCGTCTGGGAATAATGCAGGGGCCGACTCACCACTTTTCTGGGCCAAGGTCACATAGCGTCTCGCTGGGGGTGGGCAGTGGGCAGGCAGCTCGACATGTCTGATGTTGGTGAGAGTTCTCAGTTCACAGCAAACAGTCGCGCGAGGAGCGTGGAGGGGCGAGCTCAGAGATGGGACGAACAACGAGCAGTGGGTTGTGCAGGGCTCCCCCTACAAGCGTCAGGTACCTTGCAGCAAGAGGCTGTTTGGCACGGGAAGCAGTGGATCGGTGCCAGGGCCCTCAAAGACTACTGCAAGCCACTGTCGACAGCGAGGGCGAAGGACCTGGACAGCCTGGACAGCCTGGACCAGCCCCCCTTTGGGCGACAGCGCGACGGGATGCAGCCCGCCCAGCGTGTTTCGAAACATCAAGCGAACCACTCAAGGGCCCTCCATCGTCCATCTTCTGCACGTTGTTTTCGGGCCATGTTTCTTTTCCCCTGACGGCGATATCTAATCTCATTATCCTCGTTATCCTGGCGACCCTGTCTTGTGGGCTCGGAGTCGCCCCGTTTCAACTGGTCGTTGTTTATCTCCGCCTTTCCATTGTGGAAATCACTTCTGGGCCCGCAGATCCCCACCGTGAAACAATCCTAATCAGACGTCGTTGGGTGGTCCTACTTTCTATCATCTGCCAGCGCAGCATACACATATCATTGTTTTAGTATCAAAGCCTTCTTTGTTCGCGGTGGAAAGTCATCAGTGTAGCAGGGTCGAACAGCCAAGAGCAGACGCAGGAACTGATGTTGGATGCAGTCTCACGGCGGTACTTCTTAAACTGGTCATCGGTCTCTGGTATTTTTGTGCGCACGTTGCACGGCGCTGCAGCGCTGGGATGCACTGATTATGTGTACCTGCAGCTTCCTCGATTTGAGCCTGAGAGAGGGAGTTGAGCCCAGAGCCAGTAGCGATAGGGGCAGGGCACACCTCTCGCAAGGCCAGCTATTTTCTCAAGCACACGCAGCTCGCAAGGCCATGGTTTTCTGGCTGCGTTCGCGGTCAGGTCCCGAAATATAATCGCGCATTCGTTCCTCTCAGCAGCACAGCCAAATATACTCACGGTTTGATTGGAAGGATGCGAAGGAACTAGACCCTCACACAGATAATTTTACAGATCCAGAGCACGAACACGAACATCGCCGTTGACTTGCTTCTGTACCCTTCGGAGGCTGACCTCATTCCACCATCACACCCGACTCCTGAGCCAGATTTTGCTTTCTCTGATCTCATCACCGCGCAGCGTCCTTGAAACGCAGCCGAAAGAACAGAACATGTTTCCCCAGACCTGTCGAATCGGATATGGATAGCCACCGCCTGTACCTGCATGGCGCCATGATCCTATCCTTCCTCTTTCGGCCTGGATCCCTTCGAAGATTCGAAGAATCTGCCGCCTCCAGGGAAGGGCCGCCCCACGCCGTCAACCCGGTCACTTTGGACCGGATCGTCTGGACGCTGAACTCTCGCCCCTCGCTCTCTGCTTTTCTCCTGCATCATACTTTTTCGTGCCTGACTTGAGCCTAGAAAGGCCCTAGAACGCGCATATCCACATGCTAAAAACTCCTATCAGCAAATAGGGAGGGATGGAGCGATGGGGTTTGTGCAGAATTTTGCACAGAGTCTGCATAAAGCCTACACCACAGTCCATTTTTCACCTTCCACCATTCCGAAGGAGGGTTGCCCTCGCCATGTATTGGCTTAGAGGCATTCAGATGACTTCGTAGTCTTTGCCTAGTATGTTGGATGCATCTCTAGCTACAGGAA